ATGACCTTAAGAATAGGAATGTGATCAAAGATTTCATTCTATGATGAACAAATTTGGGGAAGGGGACTGTGATGGTTAATTTTTATTTTATTTTATTTTATTTGTTTTCTGAGACAGAGTCTCACCCCCTCACCCAGGCTGGAGCGCAGTGGCACGATCTTGGCTCACTGCAACCTCTGCCTCCCGGGTTCAAGCAATTCTCCTGCCTCAGCCTGCCAAATAGCTGGAATTACAGGTGCACACCACCACTCCTGGCTAATTTTTTATATCTTTAGTAGAGACGGGGTTTCACCATGCTGGCCAGGCTTGATCTTGAACTCCTGACCTGGTGATCCTCCTGCCTTGGCCTCCCAAAGTGCTGGGATTACAGGCGTGAACCACTGTGCCTAGCCTGTGATGGTTAATTTTATAGTCAACTTGGTTAGGTCCGTTTTTGGTCAAACTCCAGCCTGGTGTTGCTGTGAGAGTATATTTTAGATACAATTGACATTTAAGCCAGTAGACTTTGAGCAAAGTAGATGACCCTTCATAAGGTAGGTGAGCCCCTTCCAATCACTTGACCACCTTAAAAGAATAGACTCAGCCTCCCCCTCCTGACCCATGAGGAAGAAGGAATTCTGCTTCCAGGTGAGACTGCAACATCAATCCTTCCCTGGGAATTCTGCTTCCAGGTAAGACTGCAACATTAACCCTTCCCTGGGTTTCCTGCAGGTCCTGCCCTGAAGATTTTAAACTTGCCAGCCCACATAATTTCGTGAACCAATTCCTTAAAATATATATATATAGTTTCTTTTCTTTTCTTTTCTTTTTCTTTTTTGAGTCAGTCTTGCTCTGTCACCAGGCTGGAGTACAGTGGCACAATCTCAGCTCACTGCAACCTCCACCCTCTGGGTTAAAGTGATTTTCCTTCCTTGGCTTCCTGAGTAGCTGGGACTACAGGTGCCCACCACCACGCCCAGCTAATTTTTGTATTTTTAATAGAGACAGGGTTTCACCATGTTGGCCATGCTGGTCTTGAACTCTTGGCCTCATGTGATCTGCCTATCTTGACCTCCCAAAGTTCTGGGATTATAAGCATGAGCCACTGCGCCTGCAGTTTCAAACTGACTCATATTTTCAACCTGCTTTGATTATAAAAATCCATTGCTATTTAACAGCAGTCAAATGAATATGCAGCATTCTGAAAATAGGCAAGTTATTGACCAATACAATCAAGGCAGGTAATAGACTGAACCTTATGAAATTGCCAATATTTGGCCATTTAATCTATAAAAATGGGAATTTGATATGGATTCACCCATATGCATGGAACAAGGACTTGCTAACAAGATTTAATAGAATTGGAGACATAGATTGTGCTGTGTATTTTGGGAAAGTGCATGTGAAAAAGTCCAAACCTGTTCTGTATTCTCTTCAAGTTTCTTCTCTCAGCAGAGCCAGATAGAGGGTAGCAAGATTTTAGATTTGAATTTGGAGGAAAATAGACCGCTCAGGTAGGTTTAGGCCTAAGCCATGTGTCTAACTCAGGTTTTACTAGAGAACCCTTGTTGGAGATTATGGGCAAGTGGTAGCTATTCTTGTCCCAGCCACATGACTGATGTCAAGGTTCCCTTCAATGGACCCATGTTGCTTTTAAGACAAATTCACAGCTCCAGCTCTAATGGGTGGCAGATAAAACCAGCCTTCACTCTAGTCTCATGTCCCACCAGTCCCAACCCAACTGTGGTAGAGACAGTTGTTGGACAACTCAGATTAGTTGTTCTGGGAAAAGGCTCCCAGCCAGGGGCCACAATTCTCAGCACATCTAGATAGGAGCATGTAACTACCTCTGGCCAGTGAGATGTCAGTGGGACTCAGGTGTGACACTTTAGCACACAGGGGTCTAATACCATACTACCATACCCTCAGTCTGCTGGCTAAATACAACCAGAGTGACCTTGAAGCCACAAGACTAAATCAAACTATCTCGAAGAGTCACCATTAGAAGGAAAGCCACCCTAGAGTCTCTAGAGCCAAGAGTTCTGTGTTGGACCTGGACAAGTCAGACATAGACTGTTACTTTGTTAAGTCCCTGAGATTTGGGGTTATTTGTGATCGCAGCACAACACATCCCACCTTCGTACCTTTGCCCTTCAACATTAGAAATCACCATCTGTTCTTTCAACTTACCTAATTGTTTCACTTGGCTGGACCTTGCAAACTATTCTCTCTACCTAGAAGACCTTTTCCCTTGTCTATCTGACAAATTACCAACACTCAGATTAAGTGACACCTATTCAGAGTCATTCCCTGATTTCTCTAGGGTATTGGCTTCTTCCTCCTTTGTACCCTTGCTGTAGCTTGTACCATAGCCTCCCGTCAAATCGCGATGACACAGTTATCCTCTCAAAAGACTGTAAGTTCTTTAAATAAATGGAGGCACTAGGTTCTATTCTTTATTTCCAGATCACCTAAACTAGTGCCTGGTGTATGTGAGTTCTCCATGCATGGATTTTGGATCAGCCTCAGTAAATCGGGTGTGTGGGGTTCTTTGGTTTGCCCCTGACCCGGTTGATTGCAGTGTGGAGCTGACCTGAACTGATCGGACGGCCTGAATCACTGCAGGCGTGTCTCGTTGGAGCAGTCCTTCTCTTAAATCAGTAAAGCACTTCAAAGAAATGCCCAGAATAGGGGCTGGGTACAGTCGCTTGTGCCTGTAATCCCAGCACTTTGGAAGTTAGAGGCAGGTGGATTACCTGAGGTCAGGAGTTCGAGTCCAGCCTGGCCAAAATGGTGAAACCCCATCTCTACTAAAAATACAAAAATTAGCCAAGTATGGTGGTGGGCACCTGTAATCCCAGCTACTTGGGAGACTGAGGCAGGAGAATCTCCTCAACCTAGGAGGTGGAGGTTGCAGTGAGCCGAGATCCCACCACTGCACTCCAGCCTGAGCAACAGAGTGAGACTCTGTCTCAAAAAAGAAAAAAAAGAAAAAGAAAAAGTAAAGAAGTGGGTCCTTAGAATGTCTCTTTTGCTATTAACTGAAGATTATAGGAAAATAACGCTTTCTCATTTGCAGAATGTGTCTTTTTAATGGCTGCAGATCACATTTAATATGTGCTTTGCTTGCAAGACTTTGGAAATTTGGATCTCTCCCAGTGTTCTGCCCAGATGCTTTCTAGAATTCCTTTGCTGCTTTGCAAAATTTCGATTCTTTTTTTTTTTTTTGGAAGGAACAATAGGGAATTAAAAAAAATCAAATTAAAATGAAATGAAAAGTGCCTTTCACAGGAATGTTTTATTGTCTCTGCCTGAATTTCTAACATAGCTTATGAGGTAAAAACACTGCTTTAGTAAAAATGGAATACTCTTGGTAACATGAAATCCCATCCCTCGTCCTTCAGATCCCCTGGAGGAGAAGTTCCTCAATTTTTGGGATCAGAGACGACAGCCGTGGTGGAGTAGGAGTAGGGGCTTAGCAGGGCGGCGACGATGTAGTGGCGGGGGCCGGACTCGTTGGCGGCGAATACCACCTGTGAGAGAAGACAGACAGGATCCGTTTCCACCAGAGCCCAAAAAACGTGACAGAAGACACACATGACTGGCCCCCAGAAGTCCTCTGCCAAATTAATTAATTTCATTATTTTTTTGGAACAGTTTGAACAGAAGGCAAAAGCTCGGATAGGCTGGCAAGCTAAGCCTTTGGAAGCATGTGCAGTCCTTAGAGCAGGAGTTCTTCTCGACCGCCTCTAAAATTAGGTCTTGTTTTGCAAATTCACACCAAAAGTCAGGGTGGCCCTCGCTTGACCTAGGGAAATCCCGGAGACCCTAAAGGCTGTGTGTATTTGATTGGGTTTAGAAAAAAAGGTGGAGAGAATGCAAAAATGTGTTCATTGAAGAGCCGCTGCAGCAGTGGCTGCCAAGCACAGATTTAGAGACTTAGCATTGGAAACATCCTTCCCATTTTACAGATGAGCAAACCAGACTTGAATTACGGTGTCACCCCAGCCTACATACTGACAGAACCACAGGAGGAAGGTAAGTCTTCTGTTTCTAAGCTCAGAGATTCCCCTACCCCACTATTCTTTGCATTTCCTAACACGAAGACAAAGAATAATATTTTTATGTATAGCAAGCAATGAAATACGAAGTAAAAGCATTACAGGTCCCTATTTACAATGCAGGCAGAATGTGGAAGATCATGGTGGAATTTTGAAATCTATATGCATGCACTAGAGCTCATTTAAGCTTTCTAAATGGGCAAATTGTGGATGAAAATGCTGTTCCAGTTAATCACACAGTTCCGTCAAATTCAGTAGCGTATCTGCGACTCAGGTGCTGGCACAGCCTTGGTTTTCAGAGTGAGGCAAGTTGGGATAAATTGAGGTTAGGAAAGAGGTAGAAGACAGTAAAGATGTGTTTAATTTGATTTATTTTGTATACAGGCCTTGGATTGAGGTTTGGGCATATGCTGCATAAATGCATTTTGTTCCAAATACGGGAAAAAGAAACCCAGATTACTTAGGGATAGGAGGAAAAAAGGATCTGAGTGAATGTACCAAAAACAAAAATAATACTGGGGCAAGAGGAAGTGAGAATCACCTAAGAGTCTCTCTGAAGAAGAAAGTGCTCCCCTTAGCCAACTCCCTAGAATCAACCAATGAAAATGTCTTTTGTTTTATGGTGACATTGACCTTCAGCCCACTTGATTCTTTTTAAAAATTGTAAGAGGCATAATCTGTGATCAAAAATCCATGAAGTAGCCAGGTGTGGTGGCTCATGCCTGTACTCCCAGCACTTTGGATGGCTGAGGCGTGTGGATCACCTGCGGTCAGGAGTTCGAGACTAGCCTGGTCAACATGGCAAAACTCTGTCTCAATTAAAAATACAAAAACTATCCGGGCATAGTGATGCATGTCTGTAATCCCAGCTACTCAGGAGGCTGAGGCAGGAGAATTGCTTGAACCTGGGAGGTAGAGTTTGCAGTGAGCTGAGATTGCATTGCTGCATTCTAGCCTGGGTGACAGAGCGAAACTCCATCTCAAAAAAAAGAAAAAAAATCCCTGAAGTGAAGAGGCCTAAGAGCTCCAAATAAAAGTTTCCAATTTCCCTTGGTAAATCTAATATGACCACCTGGCTCGCTGGCCAAGGTAGACGTGAACAGTTCCGAAGGAGGCATTTATCAGAAGAAGCTGCACGAAACCTACCATGCACCAGTGATAAAGTGAGGCGCTGGGCTTCGTCTCTCTCTACTTGCTCTCTCTTGATCTCCATATTTATTCAGGCCTCCAGCTGGGCTGACAGTCCTGCCTAATCTGTCTTACATCAGTCCTTTTCCCTCCATTCCAAGGGTAGGGATGCATTTTCATTTCCAAATCTCCAGCATCTAGCAGAGTGCTCCACACATAGAATGCTTTTATTATTTTTTTTATTTTTTAATGTTTCTTGAATGAATACTGCAAGAGTGAATAGCAGACAAGGAAGCTAAGATCTAATGAAAGAACAACAGGTGGGCAGTATGGCAATGAACCTTTTTAGATGGTCCCATCAGGTCCCTAAGACCCAGGTCTTAGGTAGGCAACGGTCTCAAGGAGGGAGATCCACTACTCAAGGGTAGGGGCTGAGACTCCAGGGCGATGTCTTGTGCTGGGCACTACTGAAACGCTGCTCCTGCCCTGACTGGGCTCTGTGTTTTGCTGCCTGACTGAGCGGTAATAAGGACATGCTTCTTGGTAGATGGAGTCTTCCTTGGTGACTTGTGGGCCCCAGAAGTCAAACAAGCCCCTGCCATTTCCCCGGTGACATTGCCTAATAAGGGAACCATTTTATATCAATTGAAAGTCTCATCCATGACTAAGCCACAGAGAATAGTTCCCTTTCATGCCGAGCTATTTTTGATGGAATTCGTTGATCTTTCACTCTGACCAACATGTCTGGATTCTATTTACATGACAGCCATCTGTTTCAAATGATTTAAGAAATTAAGACAAGGAGGAGGCAGGGGGACTGGGCCCATGTATAACTGTTTGACGATCCTTACCATAGCCAGGGGAACGGAGCACGTGACACATGTGGCTTTTCTTTCTTTAAGCTTGGCTTTTCACAGGGGAAAAAGTTTCCTGAGGCACAATGTGAGACGTAGCAGAACTGAGGCCAAACCCAGCCTGGGTCTTATTTGTAAACATTTCTACTCCTGCATTTCCTAGCCTTGTGACCTTTGACAAATTATCTGACCTTGTGGTGTCTCATTTTCTTCGTCTGTAAGATGGGGATAATAGGACTGACTTTAGTGGCCTGTTCCTGAGGATTAAGTAGGTTAAATATAGAAAACACTTATAATCGTGTCTGCCACATGGTGTATGCTGGCTAAATGCTATCTATTGTGTTGCCATTATTGCTTTGATTTTATTGTCTCTGTATGTATGTGTTCCAAGAATCACTTATCCAAACCTCCAAGGAGCCAGATGTGTTTTGAAATAAAGAACGTTTTAGGTGTTAGGGAAATAAAGTGGTGCATCTCTTGTTTCATAACACTCTACGTAGGGTCTGGAGGGCTGCTTCATAAACATATTATTTCGTCGGCAAATACATCAATATTCGTATCAAGTGGAATGAATAGGCTATGAAGAGTGTCATGTAAGTTCAGGTCATGTTACTAAATGGGTTTTCACAAAGTCAAAAAGAAATTTGCTTCTCAGAGTGTTGTAAATTTCTTCTTGTATAAGAGATAAGGGAACCTTTGCTCATTCATCACCTTCTTTAGGACATTTCTGTAATACACTAAGTAAAACTGCATTTCCTGGGACACCAAAGCCAAAAACCAAAACCAAAACCAAAACAGCCCTCAAAGGTCTGTGTACTCACATCTGCGTGCTCATGGAATGAGGCAATGCCAAGGTTATGCCAGTAAGATTTGCTGTCTATTTCCACTTTATATATCCCTTTCACAAATTTCTCCTCAGTTGTGAGCCCATGCAGCTCTCCAGACTCACTGGTTTTCCTAGAAGATGTGAAATTCTGGGTTAAGTTAGGCATGGAGGAAACAAATGGCATGGCAAAGTGATACCACACACACACACACACACACACACACAAACATGTTATATACATTTCCCTTCAACTAAGTCAGAAATGGGGAAAATTCATAACTGTCTGAAATTAAATAGCAAAAAGTTTGCAGAAACTTTTTGAAAAGCTCACTGTAGATTTTTTCCTTTGATAAGAAGAGAATGTAGGGATATATATATATATATATATATATATACATATTTTTTTTTTTGAGACAGAGTTTTACTCTTGTCATCCAAGCCAGAGTGCAATGGCACAATCTCAGTTCACTGCAACCTCTGCTTCTAGGGATTCTTTAGCTTCAGGCTCCCAAGTAGCTGGGATTACAGACACCTGGCACCATGCCTGGTGAATTTTTGTATTTTTTCTAGAGATGTGGTTTCACCATGTTGGCCAGGCTGGGTTTTGAACTCTTGACCTCAGGTGATATGCCCACTCGGCCTCCTGAAGTACTGGGATTACAGGCAGGAGCCGCCGCACCCAGCCAAGTATAATGCTTACTTAAGAAAGAGTTCTTGTGATTCAAGACTGATGATTGGATAGGATGTTGTGACCATCCCCGGAAGTGGCTACAACTGTTCTAACTCTGCACTTCTCACGACAGCAAGGACTCATCCTTTCCCTTGTGGTGTGACAATACCTTTCAGAGTATCTGCACACCACCAGGGAGTATCATTTGCACACACAGTGGAAAATCTAAAGTAGGAAAAAGAGCCTGTATCTGACTCTTTTCCCTTTTATAAATTTAACCTCTCTGATAACTCTTTGCCAGCAACAAACACTAGGCAACTTCCATTTCCATGTAAGTACCAGCTCCATAGTTTAATGCTGGAAATTGCTTCCCATTAGACGGCAACAGCTAAGACAGATAAAAATAGAAGTTGTCTTTACTGACTCTAATCGTGCCCCTCCTCCTTTCCCTTTCTTCTTTTCACTTCCTTTTTTTTTTTTTTTTTGGTCCTGGCAAAAGGAAAAAGATTCACAAGAACATTTAAATATTTTTGGTGTCCATTCTCTCTCTACCAAAGAATAGTCCCGTAACCACTTTTCATATTATGCTTGGCATTTTACATAAACATAAATGAATTACCAAATAAAAAGTTAGTTAAAACCAGACCAAAGAAAATGATCTTCCCAATAATCGTTGAAGAATCATGTGGTTCTTGGGGTTCAATTAAAATGCAACAGAAATTCTTCTCCAAGGAGACGTAAATACATAGCAGTTCCTCTTCTGCTGGGTGCTAAGGGTCTCCTGATTGCTCTGTCTTTCAGTCCTTTGCTTAGGTTTATTAATATGTATTTTCCTTGAAGCTTTGCTAGTGCAGGTAAAAAAAACTCCATGAAAATTGTGAACTGCCTAACAACAAAGGTGAGCAGTCTCTCTTGCACATGATGTTGGGTGATTGTGGGATGAGTCTGGGGCTGTACTTTGCCTCACGGATCTATCTCTTCTGTCTTTTTTTTTTTAACTGAGCTTGTCAGCCCCCCACCTTGCACACAGTAGGTGCCCCAAAGTGTTCATTAGGCAAAAGCCCTGGCTTCTGGGTGATCCAAATTAACTATAGACAGATGCCCAGTAAACAATGTTCCTGAATTCTGTTCCTGCCATTAATGAGTTAATACACATTGTACCTCTTTCCTAAAAGTCTAAGACAAGGACTCTCATCTTTGGTGTTACCCAGAGACACCAGGGAATCTGTGAAACTCCTAAAATTGCATACATGGTTTTGTATGGGTGTGTATCTGTGCATTTCTTCTGGGCATAGAGTCTTTAGCTTTCATCACCTATGTAAAGTGATCGGTGACCCAGAAGGGTTGCAAGCCCCAGCTAGAGGAGAGGCTTTCTGACTCCTTCTTTTCCAGGCTGTCTGCCCCTAAATGATGCTCAGGTTCCTGGTCACTTCCTAGCTAAGCAAAACAAAAAGAGGGCATCCTTCAGAGGGTATACTTGATCTCTGCCCACGTTTTTTAATCTACTTGTAAATTCTTTAGCAGAGGATGTGGGCCTCTCTCTACCAAGTGAGGGGAGAATGGGACAATAAAACCAAGTCCCATAGAGGGGTTCTTTGGCAACTTACCCAAGGGCAAATGGCTCCCAGGTCTCATCAGCAGCCTTTTTGAACACACTCACAGCCACATTGATGGCAGGACGGCCTTGGACCGCATCTAGAACTTTGACCATCAGCGGACAGCTGTATCCCTGGGTGTAGAGAAGACAAGTGAGAAGGTAACAAAATTGATCAGAGTGGAAGGATTTATGGTTTATGGTATTAGAAATCTGGAACAAAGCAAGAATTACACACTGATCCCATTATCAGGAACATAAGTGTTGACAGTTAATAAGCTTCCCTACTCAGTATAACACAGACATAATTATTTCCAAAGCAAGAATGGTTTCTGCCTCCAGATATGCCGCTATCAACCAGGGATGTGTATAATGAATTTTAAGGGAGAAAATTGATCCCCTGAGAATAGCTGCTTTGTTAAGCCTCTCCATTTGAGTGGAATTACTGAAAAGGTGTAATGTACCATACACAGGACCCAAGAGTTTTCCCTGAGATTATTTTAGTTGTTGCTATAGTCACTCCCTCTTACCGGTTGTTATAAAATCATGTCAGTCTACATCCTAACCCATTTTTTAGTATTAATTAATTCTTCTAGAGGATTTAAGAATTAGACAGAGATCTAGAATATTGCTCACCAGCCTTTTAAAGATTAATCAATAAATACATTTTGACTAGCTATAGGGCCAGAATATAATTTCATGCGGTTTGCCCCCCAAATACATTTGATAAAGGGATGCTTTTTTGAAAATTCAGTATTAACTTCCTTAATATCACATCTTTATTTCTATCATCTATCTGAGGAAATTGAGGTATGAGACATTGCAAACCCAATGCACCAAAGCTATGAGGCAGAATGTCCAGAATTCAAGTCCCAGCTCAGTAAGTTCAGCGGAGCTTCATTCTTTTTGAAGTTTGAATCAATGATATTTAAAACAGATGCTGAGTACCCTTGCCCTAGTAATAAAAGCTGGTTGGCAAAGGCAGAAGGAGCCACTTCTGCTTCATGTAATCTGTTTCCTAAATGTAGAAACAGGATGTCACAGAAACAAACACTCACCGTATGGCCAGCCTCAGACACAAATACCAGTCCAGCGAGGCAGAGGAGGAGCAGATGATGAGAAGCCATCCTGCCAAGAATGAGTAGAGTTCTGTGATGGCTGCTTCTAGCTTGGGACTTTTATACCCACTTCTCCTGAGCTAGGCTGCTTATCCCTGCCAATCTGACTCCAAACCTGCTGATTCCGATTATTGACTTAGTCAACAAAGAGAGAATAAGTAACCCATACAAATATGAACCTTGTCTGGAGAGATTAGAGCACTGGGACATAAGCTCTATGAAATATTCTTAATAGGTCATTTGACCAGTTAGATCACCAAAACAAAACAATAAAAACAAAACAAAAATAGTCTTCTCCCTGTGTGGCTGAATGCACTAACATTCTTGGGGTATTTTTTTTTTCCCTCTCTTACATATTTCTATGCATGTTTTCCATTTTTACATTTTTGTCTTTCATTTTTGATGCAAGATTTTAGACAGATGAAAGTTGTAATAATGTATTTCATGTTGAATGACATTTGGCTGCACAGGCATAAGAAAATGTTTGCTCTTGATGGATTCATGGGTCAACAAGGAAAAGCCCTTGGCAGTGCTCACATTTTTAAAAGTCTACATTTTAGCCAAACTGCCATTTGGAAGCTTTGCTTAGTTAGCCATTTCTCCATAATGTGCACGCGCATGTGTGTGTGTGTGTGTGTGTGTGTGTGTGTGTGCGTGCGTGTGTGTTCTGACCAGATAAGGTCCACCTCAATCTAAGACAGACTGGCATCTTCCTCCCTTCCCTCCCTCCCCTCCCTTCCTCCTTCCCTTCCTTCTTTTCTTCCTTCCTTCTTTTTTTTGACAGGCTCTCACTTTGACACCCTGGCTGGAGTGCAATGACATGATCACAGCTTACTTCAGCCTTGACCTCCTGGGCTTAGGTCATCCTCCAACCTCAGCCTCTTAGCCTCTTCCCCAGGCTGGTCTTGAACTCCTGGACTCAAGAGATTCACTCACTTGGCCTTCCAAAGTGCTGGAATTACAGGTGTGGGCCACTGAGCTGGGCCAGAATGACATATTTCAATCTGGCATCGATGACCCTAAATACAGAGAACTAAATCTTCTTGACTGTCTCTCCTGCTTTGGGCATGCAGGAACAAGGCTGCCAGCTGGTTTTTGACAGAACCAAACTTGCTGGAAGAAAGTAGAGATGACTGAGAGAACCAGAAGCCACGATTGACAACAGATTCTTTTCCTCCTGGCCAGCTTATTAATACATTAAGTCCAGAAATTATGATGATTTGATGACTCATTAATCAAGTACAAAATCCTCTGTGTGTGTGTGTGTGTGTGTGTGTGTGTGTGTGTGTGCGCATTAGCATGCATGGCTTTGTTCGTGGATAAATTAAGACAGGTTTTTGTCCTTATAAGACAAATATGTAGAAGATATAGAGAAGACAAATATGTAGAAGATATAGAGAAGACAAATATTTTGGACAGATATGTGTCAAGAGTGAGTCCAGTTTGGAGCAGTAAGAGTTGAGGGAACATTTCCATAACTGATAGAGTCAGATTAGAAAAAATTCAGCAAGAAATCGTGAAGCACAGGGACTTTCAGGGAGTAGTGGAAGGGACAGAAAGGCCTTTTAGGGACATGGGAATGTGCAGGAGAGCACTCCGGGAGGTGGGTTGACCTCTCACAGCAATGAGCAAAGCTAGTTGAGAATCTTTGACCCTTAGAGTTTGACTAGGAAGCAGCAGCAGAAAGACGTTTGAATTTGGAATTGGATGACCCGCGTCATCTGATCTCAGTTCTGCTGCCCCATTTCCAGGATGACCTTCTATGAGTTATTTACTATCTCAGCTACTTGGCGAACTCATTTGTAAAACAGAAATCCTACTTTTCTACTTCAAAGGCCTGTTCTAATAACCTTTAATGTGAGATGATGTACAAGTGTTTTGTAAACTGTAAACTACTATCTTGGTGTAAAAGCAAAGCTAATAGAATTTGGTTCAACATCTATGCCTCAGGAGAAAATCCTTTCTCAAATAACATCTCTCAGTATTGTCATCCAGTATCCTCTTGGTAATTTCCTATTGTTCAGAACCTGAAGAGAGAACCTTTTCTCTGGCTATGAATCATAAATATTTGGAAGTTCTTTTATAACTCAAGTGAAATCTACTGTGCATGCATTTTAGCATGGTACTCTGTTGAAACTCAGAATCATCTCTTGTAGACCCAGTGACCTGGCAACCCTGGGCTGCCATTAGCCCATAGATATGTTATTTGAGCTGCACAGTGTCTCTTTCAACATTTTGTAATAGTTGCTAAAATTAAAAATGGAGACATGTTGCATAACAATTTGGATTTCTGGCTTCTCTTAAGAAACCAAAAATGACGGCAGTGTTAGGCCCACATTCACACATGACAGCCATCATCAGAAGGTCACTGTCAGGCACCACGACTCCCGAGGCCTCTGCCAATGCCGAGGCTAGGTGGATTCTCTGGTGGCATACCATGCTTGAGCTTTTTTCTTTTCTTACACATGGCTCGTTTCTCTCATCTGTGTTTCTGCCCAGCTTTTTGAAAATTTGAGTTTGTGATTGCTGGTCTTCCAACCACCAGGTAAATAGTTATTTTCTTTTTGCCAGACATTCCTGCTTCTGTGAATGAATCTTGTTTAGACATAGTTTCTAAGGTCCTTAGCATCCTGAACTTCCTTCTTTGACATACTCCCATTGGTCAAAGTTTCTCTTCAAATGTGATGCTCTGAACAAGACACCGTCCCTGGAGTAGATCAGGCCAACCCATTGGATGTTGAGGCTGTTGCCTCCCTTGGCAAAGGCACTTTAGTGTAAATGTTGTACCCAGAATCCATCTGTAACTGTAGTAACTGTGACCCTCCTTTCATTGTAACACTACCCACTGTGATCTGTTGGTCACAATAACCTAAAATAATACATATTATCTGTCATCCTATGCCTTGATCATTTATGAATTTTCTGACTCTGCACCAAGAAACGCTGCACGGAGGTAAAACTGTCTCGCTGGCCACAAGAGACGCGCTGGCGACCCGTGGGGCTCCTCTGCTGGGAATCTCCTGGTGCATGAGCAACAAAAATTCATCTGAAAGTGTGATGTCCTCTCGTTCTCTGTGCTTTCACTGGGAGCTACAATCCCGAGCTGCTAGTGATCAGCCATCTTGGATCTCTCTCCGATCATTTATGAATTTTAACCCAAATATGGGAACCTGAGTTTGTATCTGATAGAGCTCATCCTTTAGTTTCAGCCCCCCACTTGATCCTTGATACAGTTATGCTCTGTGCCCCCACCCTAATCTCATTTTAAATTGTAATCCCCATAATCCCCACATGTCAAGGGAGAGACCAGGTGGAGGTAATTGAAGTGTGGGTTCTTGTGATAGTAAGTGAGTGGATCTGATGGTTTTACAGGGGCCTTTCTCCCTTTGCTCAGTAGCTCTTCTTCCTGCCGTCTTGTGAGGAATGTGCTTTGCTTTCCCTTTGCTTTCTACCATGATTGTAAGTTTCCTGAGGCCTCCCTAGTTATGCTAGTTATGCTGAACTGTGATTCGATTAAACCTCTTTCCTTTATAAATTTCCCAGTCTCAGGTAGTTCTTTATAGCAGTATGAAAATGGACTAATACAATGCTATTTACATCATTTAATAGTTGTTCTGTGAATTCCTGTCTTAGAACACTTTCCAGGCCATGCCCTTGGTCACTTTGACTTGCTTTCTTTCTGAACTGTCATTGAGCTGGAAATCCTTAATGAAATTTGCATTTAAACAAGACAAGGAAGTGGGGAAAAAGTAAGGCAATTCAGGATACAGAGAAGACCCTAACTTTCATTGGAAATCATAGATAAAGCTTAAAGAGATAAAGATTATTTTTTAATATAAAAAGACTAGAGGTTCAAAAAATAGAATCAGATCTACTATTTGAGTGACTATACAACAGAGTGACTATAATGAATGATTGTATATTTTAAAATAAAGAGTATAATTGGATTGTTTGTGACTCAAAAGATAAATGCTTGAGGAGATGGATACCCCATTTTCCATGTTGTGCTAATTCCACATTGCATGCCTGTATCAAAACACTGCATGTACCTCGTAAATATATACAACTATGTATTCACAAAAAATTAAAATTAAAAAGATAAAAAAAGAGAAAATTTTGGTAGAGACTTAAAGATGCAATGTGGGTAGTCCGGAGTCAAAGTGAGAGCTCTGAGATAAGCAGCTTGCAGTGTTTTAGGTGAGAGAAGACTAAGTCTAAAGCATGAAGGAAAAAGCAAAAAATGGACAGGGAGTGCATTATTTGTTAAAGGAATGGTTGTATGGAACCCGTGGCAATGACAAATACAAGAAAAATCCAATGTTTTTTGCCTAAGAAGCAATTTATGATGAGAGAGAGTTATAGGATTAAACATACACTCTCAAAGATAAGAAGGTCTTTCTTTCCTGTGTTTATTTGAGTTTGTGAAAGCTCTTTTTGGAAGTTGATTACATAGGATCTGTGAAGAGGAATGAATTAGGGTCAATAATCACCACATTCCTGGAGACCGAAGTGGTTGCTGAAGATACTGTGTATTTGGGCACAATCAGTAGCTATGAAGATCCAATGTCATAAAACAAAAGAAGCACCAGTGAAGCATTTCAGCTGCAAGTTTATGTCTTCTTAGCCACGTACTTTTCCGTCTCAATCTGACTGTGGGGCTACAGCCTAGATGTGTAATTGAGGTGAAAAAGACCAATTTGATGACATTTCTCTTTCTCCTACAGAATATGCTGTGATTAATGAACATGTTGCCTGGCTCTTAGTTGAGGGTTCTTCTACCCTTTTCCTTGTAATGGACAGTTTTATCTATGAAAATTTTTGATATTATAGATAAACTCTTCCTTCTTGGTTTATTTTCTGATGGTGCATGTCAGTTGCTAGGCAGTAATCTGTTGATACTGAAATGCCCACTCATATTAATGTGGCTAAGCTGATTAGCCAGAGTGGGGCATAGGCTGGCTGAGTGCTGAGACTGGGCCTCATGGTGAGGTTTAGGGGAGAGTGGAAATGATGGTATTTGGGGGCCCTGGATCTTTGCAGATTGAAGAATTCAATTTTG